AGAGGCTAACCTTGAACACACTTTGGTCTGATGAACGGCAGAGTTCTTTTGGGCGGCCATTATCGGACAGCTTTCGAGAAGTGGAAGCCGTCGTAGCAGAGCAGACTGCCGTAGGCCACACAGACGCCTAGCACCAATCTCAACGTTGACATTGTCCCATGGTTCGTTGCTGAGGTTCCCCGAATCGCGCCCCGTCAGACTTGATACCGTCATTTGTCCATTCCAACATGGCTGTCGTTGACCTGCAGCCAATCATAGCGACTAAATCTTGATCGAGTCTCAACTGCAAATGCAATCAGACCCAGAACGGGCGGCAGTGGCAGTGGCAGCGGCAGCGTTAGCAGCGGGGTGTTTTGTAGAATACCCTTCTCAGTGAGAAGCCGGAGGCTGCCAACCAGTGAATCGGCAAGAATGCAACTTCATGCCGTGATTTGTTGCTGTTTTTTTCTCCGTTTGTGTGCTGCCAATTCCAATCGCCCGTCTCTGATATCCGGCGCTAAGAGGCTACGCTATCGAACCAAAGCGAGGTAAGGTAAGGTTAGTTAGGTGCATCACAGCATCGTCATCAAGACTGTCGGCTTTGAGTGGCCAGCATCGGCGTCTGTGCCTGGATGCGCCTCGAGATGCCTTACGGCTGCGACTTCCAACCACCGGTTTTGATTTGATTCACATGGACCACGACCAGCCTCTCGTCTTCCCTAATAGATACCTTATCCGTACCCAGATGCCTTGCAATTGGCAGACTCAGCGAGGCTGTTAGAACGTCGGCGCATGCTTTGGTCCTCGTACCACCAGCCAGGCCTCAACGTCTTCAACATCATCCACACTTGAGACTATCGGCATCCACAGGGCCACAGAAGCACAATCGACATCCACTCAGGTTGCAGCAGTAGTGTGGGATGTGATGTATGCAAAGATTCAATTCCCATCCTGAAATCCACTTCCACACCCTCCCGTCCTGCTCCTGGCACACTGGCCCCGGCACCGTGCCCGCCTGCCGGATCTTTCTCACCAATCGAGACAATTCTCCTTTTCCAGTCCAGCGCAGCATCCAGTCCCAAGTCATACCAAGTCCCGACCAATACTTTAGTACTACTGCGTAAGGTGGTTTCGAGCACCCAAGCAACCAAGCATCATCAACCAGTCCAGTGCCAGCGCCGTTCTTTACCTACCCGCGTAATAAGGTCGGTCCCTTGGGTGTGGTGGCTACGTTCCCTGCTTTGCCTTGCCTTACCAAAAGGCCAGTGCCGTGCAGCAACAGTCATCAGCGCGCCGCTGGTCTCATCTTCGCCTCGCCTCGTCTCGCCTTGTGCACCACAATCCGCATCTGCTGCATCCCTCATCCACTACGAAGTACGGGACCTACCTTAGGTACCTTACGGAGGACTTTCTACTCGTACCTATCCATCTTTCCTCTCACACGTCCGCCCACTGCCCCAAAGTACCTACCTCTGCCGCCGGGCTGCATCTGCATCATTCGTCCGGTCCCCTTTTCCCCATACCTTACCTCAACGTACATGGTACAATACCTTGCCTTGCTTGCGTTGCCTTACCAGACTGCACTGCAATCCATCTGCTGCTCTGCTGCTCTGCTGCTCTGTTTGTCTGCCCACCATCATCATCGTTTTGCCGCCACCGTCTCCTCTCCTCTTCTCATTGGGATAAAGCGCCTTGACGCCGAAACTGTTGCAGCCAGGAGCTCCTTGCTGCCCGCACCGCACCACACGCTGCAGCGCATCGCATCGCATCGCATCACATCGCAGACCGCACACCGGTACGTGCCATCCTGAACCCGAACCTGCTTGGGTCCGCAAGTACTGCTGCGTGTACTTTGCCTGGGTGGCAGTCTGTACGGCTGTTTCTCTTCTGTCCCGGGTACCTATCGCTGTGCTCCCCTTACCCTCTGTACCTGGTCCACACTGCATCTGGCTGTACCGCCGTCCGTCTACTCGCTGTCGCCGTCTCCAACCACCACCACTACTACCACCACTACCACTGCTGCACCCTCCCATCCTTCCCCCTCCACACTCGAAGCGTCTGTTCTCGCCTTTTGTTTCTGCTTCGTCGCCTTTGTCTCCTCGACATCTACCTATCCATCTCGCCCGTCGTCTTTTTTTCCAACAACGGCCAAACTCCAACACCCAACTGACTTGCGCACGAACACAGAGTCATTCTCTCCCTCTTGCCAAACGGTAGCTATTCCCCCTCCTCTTTGCCTCTGTATCTCTCCTCCAGCCATTATCCTTCGTGACCCTCGCCTCTCCTCCCCCCTCCTGGCCTACCTGCCTGCCTGTCCCCTTACTGCCCGTCCGCTCCTCCTCCCACTCCCAATCGACCTGCGTGGTTGTGCCTGCCTGCCTGCCTGCCCCGGCCACTACTTCACACAGCAGCAGCAGGTACTGTGCAGCGAGTGCCACCACCAGCGCCAAACACCAAGCATCAGCACCAACCAGCACCACCAACACCCAGCACAGCACCGCACCACCGCACCAGGTCAGCACCCAAAGCAGCCGGGGACCAGACCAGACCAGACTGGACCATACGACGACCCTACCGCGCTGCGACTCTACCTAAACCGCTTCCCACCCCGACCCCCTCCACTTCCCTTCCCTCAGGTTTCCCAATTGCCCCCATCCCCACTTTCTTTGCTTGAGAAGAAGGTTAGATATACAGGGTACCGTTATCACCCTTCCAGCTTCACCTCCTGCGGCACTAATTCCTTCCGCTGTGTCAAAACATTTCTGACCTCGACTTTTTATGCAGCCCAGGGAACCCACCAGAGCTTAGACTCCGCAACTGTCTTTTGCTGAAGCTGCTGCCGCGCAGTCTGTGTCTGCTCTGCTCTGCATCTTGCCTCTCTCCTTGCTCTGCCTACCGCACCTTACCTTACTCTACCACACACCTCGACATCACACACCATTCCACCGACCGCCCACAGAGCCATCGTTTCCCGTCGCTGACCGACCGCTCGAGACTCGCTCAATCGACGCCCTACCATCTGGAACGCATTCCGCTCCGTTTGTTCGACACAACGTTCGTCGCCGCCCACATCGTGTCATCCCGCACCTCACTATACCAGACCATCCTATACCTCACACCAATAATTGCGAGCTCCTAGCACCAAGGTCCAAACATCCCCGAGGGCTGCCGCCGAGAAATATCCAGCCATTTTCCCTTGTCCCTCCAACTCAGCAGCAACCTTGCGTCACACTTGATCTTGCCGTTCTCCCCTTTCGGATCGGTTCCCAATTCGACGCCGCCCTTCCCAACCCGCGAACTCTATTCGCGCTAGACACTGTCGTGGAATCGAATCACGCATTCTTCAAAATATCACAGAAATGGCTCAGCCAGGAGTTCAGTCGCTGAAGGTTCGTCGCGACCGCCATCTCGACAGCGCCCGGTGGCAGCAAAAGGCTAATGATCATCTCAGTGTGTGGTGACGGGTGACGGTGCCGTCGGAAAGGTGAGTCTCGACCAGCATCGCATCTCCTCAGTGCCAGCTAACGATGCGGATAGACATGTTTGCTCATTTCCTACACAACGAACGCCTTCCCCGGCGAGTACATCCCCACTGTGTAAGCCTCGCGTCCTCGATCGACGGCAAGACTCAATCTAACAACCGGCACAGCTTCGACAACTACTCTGCGAGTGTCATGGTCGATGGAAAGCCAATTAGCTTGGGACTGTGGGATACTGCCGGTCAGGAGGATTACGACAGACTGCGCCCGCTCTCCTACCCCCAGACCGACGTTTTCCTCATCTGCTTCTCCATCGTCAGCCCGCCATCATTTGACAACGTCAAGGCCAAGGTATGACATCCTGCAGCCTCGCCGCGTGGAGATCAGCACTAATCATGCGCAGTGGTACCCCGAAATCGACCACCACGCGCCCAACATCCCCATCATCCTCGTCGGCACCAAGCTGGATCTGAGAGAAGACCCCAACACCCTCGAGTCTCTCCGCCAGAAGCGCATGGAGCCCGTGTCGTACGATCAAGCTCTGATCTGCGCCAAGGAAATCAAGGCACACAAGTACCTGGAGTGCTCTGCCCTGACGCAGAGAAATCTCAAGAGTGTTTTTGACGAGGCCATCCGGTACGTCTTGATAATTATAATCTACCACCACCAACCTGCTAATTCCTCCCAGTGCTGTCCTGAACCCCAGACCTGTTCCTCAGCAGAAGAAGAAGTCCAAGTGCACGATTTTGTGAACACGTCAATTGAACTTCAGCGTTGCGGGTTTTAACACTGGAAACGGCGTATCGGGGTGGATTACATGAACCGATCTTCACTACCTGACCGTCAGGGCTCAACCATGTTGCTCGACCCGCGCCTTGCGCTTATCTTGGAGGAAACAACCAATACTTTTCGGAAGCACCCCACATGACGGCCGAGCTAAGCATAGCCTGCGATGACGGCAATGACCCCCGATTATTACACACTTGCTCAGCCTGCGCTTGTGTGTGCTGGACATGAGAGTACCTTTCAGATAGGTGTGGCGGTGTGAGGAATGGTAGTGGTTTTTGTTGTCGCTCTTTTTCACTCCTTCTCATCGGAAAAGATCAAAGAGAGTTGCTGCAAATGTCAGAGAGGGGGGATCGTTGGTAGCAGGCAAGCTTTGCATCTCATCACAAAGGATATCCCAAGCTTTTCTGTAGATAGCACACACAGTCACAAACACACACACTTCTTTTTTTCATGGAGGAACTAGATATTGGGGTCGGGACGGGATACGAGCTTCGCCTTGAGAATTGATTGTCATTGCAAGTGCCCTTTGGTATCTAGACTGGAACCTGCAGCTATTGCAACAAAACGAAAAGGTCCTTGCGACCAAAATGTATGAATTGCCCCTGTGCCATTGAAACAAAACTTTTCTGAATCCTAATCATGATCCTGCCTAAAGCTGTCAAGAGGTGTATACAAGAGCTCTCTCTGTCTATGCTCCGACACCTGCTGCTAATTACGAATCGTACATTTTGCGGAAAATCCTCCAACCGATAATTACTGGTGCATCAAAGCGAGACGGCTCGGGTGGATGCTATCCTGCTGGGTGTTAGTGCCACCCTCCGACACCCTCTGCTTCTTGTACTCCTCCTCCTTCTGCATGCGCTTCACGCGGTTCTCGTCGAGCTGCACGTTGCGGGACTTGATCTTTTCGCGGCGGAACTTGCTCTTGCCGCCACCGCCGGCGCTGTACGAGAGACCTTGATTAGCATACGGGTCCGTTGAGGAAGAGGGGGGAGGGGTAGAGGGCAGTGCATACGAAAGCTCGAGGTTGATCCTGCGCGCCGGCGACAGCCCGTCGTCGAACTCGGTGTGGTGCATCTTGTCGAGGCAGGTGCGCATGTTGGAGCCGTTGGAGAACTCGAGGAAAGCGATGCCGCGGCAGACGTTGGGGTCGTTGTCCTTGTTGAGGCAGCGGACGGCGGAGGGGTTGTAGGCGGAGAAGTGCGCGCGGATGGATTCCTTGTTTGCAGTGTAGGGCAGGTTTCCTGGGGACGGTGTGGTCAGTATTTGGAAAGTCGTCGCGGGGACTGGCGCAGATAGACTCACCGACGAAGACGATGTACTTCTCCCTCTTGCCGCCCTCGGCGGGCTCTTCCTCCTGCTCCTCGGCAGCTGGCGTCGGTGCCGGGGCGGACTCCTCCTTGGTCTTTTTGCTCTTCTTGTCCTTCTTCTTGGACTTTTCCTCGCCGTTCGTCTCGGGCTTAGCCTCCTCCTTGGTCTTGGCCTCCTTCTTCTTGTCCTTCTTGCTCTTCTTCTCCTCCTTCACCCCCTCTTCCACGGGAGCGGCAGCCTCCTCCGCCGTCTCCTCCGTCTTGGCCTTTTTGCTCTTCTTGTCCTTCTTCTTCTTCTTCTCGCCGTCGGCAGGCGGGTCGACGTCCATGGCCGAGACGTCTGCCGCCTCCTCTTGCTCCTCGGCAGCGGCGGCGGCCTTGCGGGCCTCCTTCTCCTTGCGCTTGCGCTCCTTCTTGTCCTTCTTGGACTCGTCGAGCGCGATGAACTCGTCGGTCGCGGGGGCGGTCTCGTCTTCGGCGGACGCGGCGGCCTTGGCCTTCTTTTCCTTCTTGTCCTTCTTGTCCTTCTTGTCGGACTTGGACTTCTTCGCCGCGGCGGCGTCGTCGTCGGCGCGCTTGCGCTTCTTGGAGAGTTCGGCGGAGGCCATTGTGGTGGTGTCTCAGCGGCCGCAGGTGATTCAATCAGTTCAGAGACGGATGAGTCTGCGAGAGGACGGTTCGCGACTGGTGGAGTATCGAGACGCGAATGCTGCCCCAGAAATTTTCGTAAGGAAAAACAGTTTGGTTGAGGGACGCAACGCAGGTAGGCCGACGGACGACGAGACGGCGCTGGGCAAAAAAATCTCTTATCTGAGTCGTCGGTGTGGGGGGATAAGGGAGCGCGCCTGTGAAAATTTTGTGGGGGCCGCCGAGGCGGTCGGAGGCGCACTGCACCAGGTGGAAAGGGGTGGGTGGATGCGGCCTGTTCGGCGGCCTGGGTGTGGGGACCAGCGGTTCCCGTCGCCGGAGGATGCGGCGGCGGCGGCGGGGATTTTGTTGTGATGCATGGCCTTTTGGGGGGTGGTTGCACTGCATGGTTAGTACTATTTGCAGAGGAGGAGGTACTGATACCTCCGGTGTAATAATTTCTGCGGTTGTCTGGTGAGAATTGAGGGTTGAGAGTGCTTGAAGACATTGAAGCAAGCACTATGGCCTAGTATGGGAACTTGGGTGCAGTGAAGACATTTTGATTATGCTATAGAAGCTCTATTCCTCATGGCTCTGTTGTTGCAGTTGTCGTCTTGGCTATCGTTGCCTCTTATCGGCTCTCATCAAGTCAGTACTGTTGCTACTTATTCTCCTCTTATTACCTCTCTTAGCTTTAAGCATGTTGCAAACGTAGGAAATGTGGTTGCGTATGTGAGGGAAATGCAAACAGTCTCCAGTAGAATGTTTCATGAACTCATGGAAGCCATGTGATTTTAGACCCAGAGCAGACTGATATTTCCTCAAAGCCGGATATGCTGCTCACACGTACGGAATATCAGCATTTCTACATCTCTCGCGACTGGCTTAGACCGTGGCCGGTTATGTCTGCGGAGACCACTCTGGCCGTTTTTCCACATTATGAGAATCGTTCCGTCTGTAAAATCACATACTTAACGGAATCACCGTCATTTTTAAAGCCCTCAGTCCGAGGCGTTGCCTGGCTTTTGGGGTCGTCAACATAAAGTCAAGTCCATGAAGTCGAATTGCCACGGGCATGTCACCGGCCGCTTTAGCCACCACATCTCCCGCACTGTGCACCTTGCAGCGGTCAAGTCCAGCGACCTAGCTCACGGTCCAATCCCCCCGGACGCCTGGTCCCACAGTGCGAAACTGACTTTTTCCCGACATGGATCTGAATTTTTCGTCTCAGCGGCGACACCTTCAGTCTCATACACCAACTCTCACCCAAAATTCGATACCCTTCATCGACCTGCAATTTTCCGCTTCACCTCGCCGCCCGGCCAATTTCCACACCAGGCAGGAAACCCTCCCCGAGTAATCAAAACCATGTCCAACTCCAAAAAGAGAGCGGCGGCGCCCGACCAGGACGGCGAGCGCAAGAAGAAAAAGAAGAAGTCGGCCTACACCGTCGACGAGACGCTGCTCAACGAGGAGCTGGGCATCAACGAGTCCTTCGCCGTCATGGACAACCAGCTGCTGGCGGACTACACCGCGCAGAAGCTCGCGCGGTTCGCGACGGACCTCAGCCCCGTCGAGATTTCCGATCTGTCCCTCTCAGGTGAGTTTCTCTGTCGCATCTTACTCACTACATGTTCCTCTCACGTAATGAGAGATAGAGAATGTTCAAACGCTTACACGCATGCAGCAAACGCAATCAAGGACACCACGTCATGGACGGAACCCCGGTCCACGGACAAGCTGGCGGCGTTCCTGGAAAAGTTCGCCGAGAAGCCGGAGAAGCTGCCCACGGCGCCGGAGAAGAAGGGCACGCCGCACACCATCATCGTCGCGGGCGCGGGGCTGAGGGCGGCGGACATTGTGAGGGCCGTGAGGGGGTTCCAGACGAAGAAGAGCACCGTGGCGAAGCTGGTCAGTTTTGCTCTCTCCTTGTTTTGTAACCACGACGGGTTCGCTAACGACTGTCACAGTTTGCAAAACACATGAAGGTCGAGGAACAGGTCAAGTTCCTTCAGGGCACGAGGACGGGCATTGCGGTCGGCACGCCGGCGCGGCTGATGGAGCTCGCGGACAACGGCGCGCTGTGTCTGGACAAGGTGCAGCGCGTCGTGGTCGACGCGTCGCACATTGACTCGAAGAAGCGCGGGTTGATGGACATGAAGGACACGATGATGCCGCTTGCGAGGTGGCTGTCGCGTAAGGAGCTGAAGGAGAGGTACACGGACGAGAAGAGGCATTTGGACCTGGTGTTTTTCTGAGGATGTGGGAAGGGTTGGTCATGATGGGAGGATGCTTGGTAAGGGGGAGGAGGCATTTGCTGATGCAGAAGGTCTACAGCGCGCGAAGCTTTTGAGGAATACCGGCCGTGAAGTCCTGTGGGAATCCGGAACGACATAATACCGGGAGAGGCCGACCATCATATGGGAATGGCATAGAAGACGAATCGGAATATGAGGCGAGAGCCGGGTTGTTGTTCAGACGTGATCGCCAACATCTCACCGTCGAGTGTAATGCCTGCGCGTTCAGTACCGCACGATGTGAGAGACATGAGACGATGACGGCTGTCACGCCCGGCATGTAGTGGGCCGCTGCTACTAGACGACGGGCGTTTTTTGCGGATGGTTCACGATATGCGAACCTGCTGTTTGGCTGAATGACCGCGCCCTGGATCCATGAAGGTTTTTGTAAGTGAGGGGGAGAAGCAGGGCTTGCTTGCTTGCATTGGCTGACATCTGTGGTGTACCCTATGCGCATATGCTCCGCCGGGGGGGATCATGCACCCGCTCGTCTGAAGGTGGTTTGACGACGGCGATGGTGTGTTATATCAGATCTCTGTTATTCCACGGCACATCGGTCTGGGAGCATGATGCTTTCGGTAGCAGAGATCGCCTCACATTCGAGTGCTGATGAGGCAGGAGGGTTCGCACGTTACCGACTTGCATTCGTTCCTCCCTGGGAGAGGACTCGAGGAGCGAACGAAGGGATTCCTTGCATGGGGCCAAGTTAGTCGACGAGTACGGGATTGTATGGTTGCTGGAATGCATCTTCGGCATGATTGACACTGGTTGTGTCAGTTATCTTGAGGATGATTTCTATCCCTTTATTACCCGTGCAATCCAGGTTGTCAGCTGCTCCACGCACTGCAGCCCTTATGGAACAGGTATGCTCTGGTTCGTGCGCCTTACATAGTCATGTCAGAGGAGCACCCGCTGTGTTAGGATCAGCGTGGCCAGGGACGGGAACAGGGATTAATAATGCCGGAGAAATCATTGCCAAAGCTTTTACGTCGTGCTACAGCTGATTGCGCTGACCCGCTTGGAGCATTTGGTTTTTCACTGGCCGCTAATAAATGACTGACCATCGGGTCTCTACGTCGAACACTACCCATCTATAGGCTGAGAAGAAGCGTTAGCTCACAGTAGACATTGCCCACGGTAGTTTTAAGGTTGTAGGTTCCTCGTTCATTCAAAAGATATTTTCAGGCTCATAGGTTCAGGTCTAGACACAGGACATGGTGGAAATTGAGAAGGAAATAGAACGCTGCACAAACAGCGCGTTTCTAGAAGAGAAAGCTTCTTTTTTATATATATATAAACAAAAAGGGAGTGAGGGAGTGGGGGTCAGAAGTCACTCTAAATCGCGATACCCTCACCACTCTCCGTGCCCGACTCTGTGCAAGGTGGCAACCAGAGAACTGTTTTTAAATGTCACCACATATTTCATCCTGTTAATTAACTTAAAATTATTATTGCAATCCGAATTATTGCCATTGGTATCCTAGCGGAAAAAATGACCACCTCCTTGCAATAAGCTAATCTCTGGGCACCACTCAGCTATTTCGTCCAAATTTCCCTGTTGCCATCGGTGTGGTTGATGATATCCCAAAGGCTTGTCGTGATACATGGTCTCCACTGCAAACTTCATGGCCTCTTCCGGGGTTGGCAGTTTCCCGCTGCGTTCCCTGACTTTTGCATCAAACCATTGATCCTCAAATTCGTTTGCCCCGAGAGCAACGCCTGGATCACTGGTAATATTGTACATCAACTTCGGGTTACGCAACGACAAGCCGCCATTGTAACCATGGCCGAACTGAGGAGCGATGGGAGCCCCAATCAGATCCCACTCGAAGAAGTCCTCGATTTGCATTGGAGATTTGGAGCATATCATACTGTCCGCTTGAAACAACAGCACCCGGTTGAAGGAATACAATTGTTCCCAGATCCAAGGTGATGTGAGGAACACAGACACTGAGTGATGCTCTGACAAGCTTGTCTCTGATGGAAGGAATATCACCCGTATCTGATTGGCGTCCATCAAGCGTTTGAAGGCGGGAGAGTCGGGGGGGTTCCAGTTTGCTTCCAGTGTCATGAGAACTACCGGCCAGGTAGGTCCCAACACCATGGCAAAATGAAGTACGATAGGAACCAGATTAGGTACTTTTGTAATGTCCGTCTCGATGATGACGGCGACGCTGCTGCTTTCTCGGGGTTGACGTGCACTCAGAGCATCTGAGGTGTAGAAATCGTCTCCGACAAGGACATGTTGAACACCACGCCTTGCGAGGTAGCCGCTGTGCTCCAAGGGTTTTTCCTAAATCAAAATATGTCAGTGGGTTGCAGAATAAGGACCGGTAGATCCGCCAAAGTCATACCTTGAATATCTTCCAGATTGTCAGCAGCAAAATGAAAACGGTGATGATTATCAACTGAGTGCGATGCTTCCGCTTAAACTTGCCATGGTCCCAAGAAGGATGCTTACTGGTCAACTTGAAACCCAAGATGGCGACCATGGTAAGAATAAGTGAACCTGTAAAGAGAATGGACAGTGACAAGGTGAACGCGTCAGCAACAATGGGCTTGATACTTTGTGCAATCAGATCATGAATTTTTCGGCGAGCCCACTTGAGCTTTAAGCCCACTTCTCTTATATTTGTTGTATCTCTCTTCTTGTAATTTGAACCTGGTATTATAATCAGATGGGGTGAAGGCGGACGCGTCTCTTTGTTCTGTCAGCCGTATTTTCAGCTCCCTTGCCGGGCTTCCACACACACACACACACACGCATCTGGCATGAGGCTGTCGTGCTGCCATTCCTCACACGTCTCCCGGCATGACCACCAATGAATCTAGAATCAAGTTGAATGATTCGGAATGGGAATCGCGTGCTTATTTACGCCTTGTTGGCGCGGGAAGAATCCAGGGCGGCCGGGATTCTCCGAAAACTCCCTTGGCAATCAATTGGTGGAGTCGATCCCGCCCTTGATCAACGACAGCACAAGAATTATTGGATTTTGTTTCCCTTGTTTCTCTGGTTTCCCTGTGTATGTATTGGGCGATAGCGGTGGGCGGCGGTATATGATTCTTTGCACAGTATGCTGAGAAACGCAACCCTTCTTCTCCTGGCAAACCAGTTAACACCGTCTGTCACTCATAGTGTCGCATAAACTGAGAGGATGTACAACACGATCCTTGAAAGCTTATTACGCCCCCTGCCTGAACCGCGTCGTTATCTCTAAGACAAGAGAATATTTCCTACAGACTTAAGTAGGCACTAAAGAGAGACAGTCTTGACTCTCCTAACGAAGTACCACGCTATGTGATTCTTGATAGCTGGATCGGACATCATTCATTCCGCGACAAAGCCACACACGCCTTTCAAGGGCAGATCAAGCTATGTATCGTCTCGAAAGTTGAGGGAAAAGAATGCCCCCTTTCTGATGTCAAGACTAGTGAGCGCACTTTCCTCGTGGCGTGGCTCATCGCTTTGATGAATATGTCGGAGAAAAAAGAAAGAAAAAAGGGGGGAAAAGGAGGGAGAGAAGAATCCTTGCGATCCGTAACGTGGTCTGGTCGGGGATCTTTCAGATCGAAAGCTCATATGTAGGTGTTTCTTCACCCTCAGAGCATGGGAAGTGTTTTTTTGTTGAGGCTGTTTTCTTCTTTTTTCCTTTTTCGTTTTTCCTTTGGAAATATCATAGGCTACCTGGTCTTTCCAATCTTTACGACCATGAGTTATCTGGTTGCTAGCTACCGCGCAATCACGATTTTGGCGATTGCCGCAGCCCTACTATTTCTTACCTCACCGACAACATCATTAGTATGTTCATGGTCTCGAATACGTGGCTCGTAATTCACCACTGACTTCTACTAGTACGGAGGTGGATCGCTTGAGCCGTCGGTTTCCCAGGAACCTCACGTAGAGGTTCCCGTTCCCCCAAAGACACCGAACATATCTAAACCACGAAATCGACTTTTGATACTTTACACGTACTACGAATCTGAAGAAGCACGAGAGAACATACAATTCTTTCTCAAGCATGGCTTGCACTCGGCTGCTGATTTTGTCTTCATCTTCAATGGTGAGACGAATGCGACTGAGCTGGTGCCACGCACAGAACCAAATATCCGGGTCGTCAGTAGGGACAACACTTGCTTCGACTTGGGAGCCATGGGGGAGGTTCTGCAAACAGACAAGCTGTGGAAAAAATACGACCGTTTTATAACCATGAACGCCAGCATACGGGGTCCCTTCCTTCCACATTGGAGTAAGAGTTGTTGGTCTGACTTGTTTCTTGATCTTGTCACAGATGAAGTCAAGGTAATCGATTTGATTGGTCTACTGTTTTGTCTGAATCCCAGCCTAATTGACGTGGCACGTAGCTTGTTGGAATGACGGTTAACTGTTGGCCTGTGTATCATGTTCAATCCATGATCTGGGCGACGGACAAGATCGGAATGGGGCTGCTCCTTGATCCAGCATTGAGCAAGCCTTCCAATCCAGATTTCTATGGCACTGAAGACGACGGGGTTGGGCTGAGCGGCTGCTACAACGAACATGGGCAGGCTGTCCATGCCGAGATAGGAAGCACCTCGATCATTACTAAGGCGGGGTACAAGGCCGACGCCTTGCTGACGTCCTTCCACAAAGACGCCGATCCTGATACATACTGCGGTTCAGTTATGCCGGATATTAAAGATACTCTTAGAGAAGGAGCATACTTCGGCTTCAGCGTCCATCCGTTCGAGACGATTTTCGTCAAAACGAACCGAGGGATCAGTCCCTCGCTGGTCACGGCTTTCACTCAATGGTCGGGAGATATGGGGTACTCAAGCTACGAGAGGTGCAAAGCATAGCCTTGATTGTCGAGAAATTCACAAGAATTCCAAAGTGTCCCGAAAACCACTGTTGTGTCGTCCACGAACACGAGATGGTATCATCGGAAAGCTGACAGCTCACGGATTTGGCGACGTCTCTGCGAGACGGAAGTCGGCCCTTGGCCAATGCCAACCCGAGTCCGTCTTTACGTAAGGGATCGCATACGCCTCTTTGTGACCAGGCACGCCTGGTGCTTGTAGACAGATTAATCAAGACACCTCACGCAGGTTATGAACCCTCTATCTTAATCCATCTGCTAGACCATGAGGTTATTGCTAAGTAGCTATTGAGGCTCTGCTCTCATTCTCTAGCGATTGCTGCAGGGCGCTTGGACTCGCCCGCCACCTGGGGGCCGTCAGCTGTCACCTTTTTCATGCGGTTAGTCTAGACGAACGGGACTGTGAGCTAACATGGTTAATTGAGGCGAGTTTTTGGCTGTTTGAAAAGTAAAAAAAAAAGGTGCCGAGCAAGTGGGGTTGGGTTGTAAGTGAGGAGGATTCGAACCGTTTAAGCTGTTCGGTTGCAGTGGTCTGAAAGTTGTGGTTCTGTGGTCTGAGAAAGACGGGGGTTTAGTGCTTGTCTGCTGGTGGGTGTGGTGGTGGTGCCGGGGTTCTGGGACAAGGGGGCTGATACAGTTTAACCAAGATCGACGTCGAGGGGACGGTTTTGGGACGAAGAGGAAGAGGACGGCGCCGGTTTGGAGATTTGTGAAGATGCAGCAGTTCGCTGTGCCGGGTTGACGGGGGCCTGCATTAAGGAATGTAAGGTAGGTTGGCGAGGCGCAGGAGGTTGCTGGCGTTGAGCAACGTGACGGGGTGCCTCAACATGATGTATGTGTGACGCCTGTAGAACTTGGTGAGTTGAGGTGTTGAGAGAGAGGACTGAGCACGAGATGATAGTTGAGCGGTTTGCAACGGCAGCCTGAGTCGAGTTGATCAGATAATTAACTGCGAGCGCTGCAACTCAAAAGTCGCGGAATACGAGCCAGAGAGGCAGGCTTAGCCTGGGATGGGGTCCCACTCAGGGTCGTCTGGATGGCAATTTAACTGCGGCCGGGAGCGAACGGGACCGTGAGTGAGATTTGCGAACTTTCTTTGGGTTGGACTTGGCTTCCCGGAATAAGCGAGGTGTCACTGGGCTGAAGAGGATCAACAAGTTGGAGAAGCTTTGGTTCGTTGTTACGACACTGCTGTCTGTGTTGCGCTGCTCTACTGTCTTGCTTGGTTCCCCCGTTCCGTGCGGCTTGCTTCAGGTTCGTGTGCGTGTGTGTCGTTCAGCAATGCAGATGATGACGGCCATCCCACGCGGGCCCCGAATTCTTCAGCGGTGGCTGTGCTCAGCTCTCAACTGAAGGGGGCTAGACTCGAAGGGGAGTAGGACACCCGCGATTGGCAGCGGTGGTGGTGCGAGGTCTGTGGTGTTGGCGCATGGGAACCACTCTAAAATGTTCGATGAGTTGTTTTAGCCTGGAGAGTGGAGGAATTGGAATGAGGGCGCGCGATCTGCTGGATCATGGATGTTTATCTGTCGCTATTCATAGATGCGGGTTCACGAGGTTGATGCCCGATGAAGGAAGCAATTGGTTATGCCCTCCTGCATGCACACACACACACACACACACAATGATATTCGTCAATGATTCTGTATTTGTATGGTCCATGTACTTCATCTTACGTGTTGGGTTGTGTCGCAGCTCTGGCGGCGCATATCAGCATTCTTCGGTGGTGCTTCGCCTCCGAATCCGCGCGTCGCAAACTGCAAGACATATCTTAGCTCACCTACACAGCTCGCTTCGACGTATTGTCTTGTCTCGCAAGGCTGTCTGCAGGTTCTGTTTGCGTCTGCCGAGCAGACGGGACGAAAGCGCACCACGGTTGCCCAACTGCAGCTGCAACAGCTCCTCCCAGCTGGGCTGACTGCAGCAGCATCTAATGTCAATCTGCAAGACCTACTCGACTGTCCTTGTCCGTGCGACGTGCTGCCCTGCCCGAGGGAACAGCGGAAGCAGCTTCCTCGCTCTCAAAGTTTAGTAGTACTGCGGTAGGAGTTTGGCTGCGCTAAGGTTAAGGCACAGTAGTCTGGTCTCGTCTCGTCTTCCGAACCCGAGACATTCCATCGTAGATTCCATGCTGCTTCCAGATCAACTTATTTTTTTTCTCTGTTTTTTTTCTCTCCGTCCGTCCGTCTCTGTAGACTGTTTGTCTGGATTTTTGCTTGGTGGTCGCCGGACCCTGACGTACCTTGCCTTGCCTCCAGGCTCCAGGTAGGTAAGGTACCAAGCAACCCTCGTCCAGCCCACTCGCCATCACCCACAGCTCCCCTCAGGCGCCACCCCCGTCGCCCCGGCTGTCTTTGAGCTGCTTAGCGGCCTTTACCCCCCTCGTCCTCGTCCGCATCCTCGTCGCTCTCGTCCCACGTTATTCCGTCCTCCGTGCTCCCCGGTCACTGCAGCTCGACACACACAGCACACCACCACCACCACCTCTCGCCGCGCTCATCCGTGTGCACCGTTCGAGGCCACATTTCTTCCACACGATACCCATCACTTCCCCGTACTCACGAGTCACATTGGACGACCCATCCTACCCGTCTTCGAGCTTCCCTTCTCGCATGAATCTCCCCCGTTTCACCCCCTGCCTCTCCACCTGATCAGATTCCCAAAGAGCCAGCGCCCGGGAACCTGCCTCGACCAGAGACTGCCACCTCGGCGAACACAGACTACACCACCACACTGCATACCGAGCAATCACACGCCCGACGCTCGAAACCACCGACCTCTTGGAACTTCCTTGTCCAACCCCCCGATTCAAGCCTCCCGCCGTCGCCACTGGAGCCCCGAATCCTCGTATTACCACTCCGTGACACTTGCGCCGAGTTGCCAAACTCTCCCGATCCCTCAAAATGGCCGACGTCCGCTCCCCCTCCGACGACAACCTGCCTGCAACCAACGAAGAGCAGCGCGATAGGACGAGCAGCATGTCGCTTGGAAACACAGAAACACCACCACAGAATGGCGCAAATGGCCCCGCGAACGGCGCCTCCGCCGCCGCCAGTGCCGAGACACCCTCGGCGCCCAACCCAGAAATCTCGCGCCAGGTCCAAGAAGTCCTGTCGTCCGATGTAAGGCGGCCGCATGCCATGTTCCCACAATCCGGACGCTGACAAGCATGCAGATTGGCGTGTCAACCATGTTGAACCAACTCAAGGCGAGCATCGCGTCTGCAAAGGTGAGCAACGCTGGTCCATTCGCGAGTCGCTGCGGCCGCTGACGCTTACCCCGCCAGGAATTCGCCCTCTTCCTCAAGAAGCGATCACACATCGAAGAAACACACGCGTCCGCGATGAAGAAACTGTCCCGCATGAGCCAGGAGACCATGCACCAGCCCGAACACAAGCAAGGCTCCTTTGCCCAGGCTTACACCGAAATGATGTACATCCACGAGCGCATGGCCGAGAACGGCATCCAGTTTGCCGTTTCACTGCACCAAATGCACGACGACCTTATCGAGATGGCCGCCATGGCCGAGCGCAGCCGGAAAGGATGGAAGGCGAACGGCTTGGCGGCGGAGCATCGCGTGGCAGACCTCGAGGCCGCTATGCGCAAGTCAAAGGCCAAGTACGACAGTCTGGCAGAGGAGTACGACCGCGCCCGCACCGGCGACACCAGCAGGAACAGCGGAAAGATGTTCAGTTTGAAGGCAAAGTCGGGACCGCAACACGAGGAGGACCTGTTGAGAAAGGCACAAGCCGCCGACCAGGACTACCAGGCCAAGGTTCAAACATTGCAGAGCGAGAAGGCCGAGTTGATTGCGAGGACAAGACCCGAGGCTATTGCTGCGCTCCAGGACCTGGTTAGGGACACAGATGCCGGACTGGCACTTCAGATGCAGAAATTCGGTGGGTGATGTTGATCAACTTGGCCAATCTGAGCTAACATCTTGGCAGCGTCCTTCAGCGAGAAGCTCCTCTTGAGCAACGGCCTTAGTATTAGCCCAATCAAGGGACAGGGTTCTGGGGGAGGACCGCGCAGCCTCCGCGAGGCCGTCATGGCCATCAACAACGAGAAGGACCTGAGCGACGTTCTGATGAGCCACCACTCCAAGCTACCGACGAACAACGAGATCAAGTACGAGAAGAATCCCATCTTGGCGACACCTCGCAATCCCAATATGAGCCACCAACCAAACGCCTCGGTCTCCAACGTGCCAAAGATGACGCCGAGCGGTCCGCCGCCTGCGCAGAACCAGCAGCAGCAAATGCCGCCTCCCGCCAGGCCAAACAACTTTCAACCGCCCGCCGAGTCCCCGTCGAGCTTCCAACCGCCTAGCATGCCGGCAGCTCAACAGCAGCGTCCCTCGTCTCAGCAGCAGTCCGCCCCTCAGCCGCAGCAGCATGGGCGTAGCTTCAGCACCAGCAACATGCTGAACCAGCAGCCCAGCCAGCAGCAGCAATTCCAGGCCAACCGCAACTCTGGAGTTCTGCAATCGCGGTACAATGGCGGTGGCAGCACCGTTGCTTCTCAGGGCCCGCCACAGCTTGGGGCTCTGCCCTTCCAGACTTCGCAGAGTCAAACGCCCCCTCCACAGCAGCAGCCCACCCCGCCAGCTCAGAGCCAGTACCAGCAGCCACCTCAGCAGCGGCAGCAGGGTAACCCCTTGCAGCAACACCCTGCCCAAGGGCCGCCTACCGGAGCTCCTCAATACCAAGCGTACAACAGGCAGTCTCCTCCTCTTGCCGGCAACAACTCGGCACCAACGCCCAACCCCGCGAGGCCCGTATTCGGGCTCACCTTGTCTCGCCTGTATGAGCGGGATGGTCTGCCCGTGCCTATGGTCGTCTATCAGTGTATCCAAGCAGTGGACCTCTACGGCCTTGGCGTTGAGGGTATCTACCGCCAGTCTGGTTCGTTGACGCACATCAACAAGCTCAAGACCATGTTCGATACCGACTCCAGCAACCCTGCGCTTGATTTCAGGAATCCGGAAAACTTTTACCACGACGTCAATAGTGTTACGGGCCTGTTGAAGCAGTTCTGCCGCGATCTCCCTGACCCGTTGCTTACTACAGAGCATCACAGCGAGTTGATTGAGGCAGCCAGTAAGTTTCACCAATATCCCCGAGTCGTCCCCATCTAACACTGCCAGAACACGATGATGACATTGTCCGCCGCGACTCGCTGCACGCAATCATCAACAGCCTTCCCGACCCCAACTACGCCACCCTGCGCTCTCTCACCCTCCACCTGCACCGCGTCATGGACAATTCCCACGTCAACCGCATGAACTCGCACAACCTTGCCGTCATCTTCGGTCCCACTGTCATGGGCACCGACCCGAGCACGAGTATTGCCGACGCGGGCTGGCAGATCAAGGTCGTCGACACGATTCTGCAGAACTGCTACGAGATCTTCGACGACGAGTAGACAGCGCGTCGTTGTAGTTCTTCGCTTTAGCGTGTTTCAAAAAGCAAAAAAAGCATCACGGCGTTGGCGGATTTTCCATCTCTCGCTTTGTACATTCTCGCCACCCTGGTCGGACCGTACATATGAACGGCGCATATCCTGGGCACATATATAGCTTGCGTCCTCGTGCGGCTGGAACGCTCCCCCTTTCTACTTCCCACTCTCCAGGTATCTAGCGAGCAGGATGCGAGAATATTCGAACCATTGGCCTTTTTTTTTACTCACCTTGTTTTCCCTTATTCACGGTCATTGAGCGTAAACCGAGGGGGCGGCGGCGTTGGGGAGGTGGGTGGACATGGTCTTCTGTATTTGTCTTCTCGCCGTCATTGATCGGTGATCTTTTATTTTCAGGGATACCACCGTAGGTTTTCTGCAGCACAGCGTTGCGTCCTCCTTTTATAGCCAATCCTTGCTGCCGTTCATGACACTTGCCTGTGTAATATGTGAAGGGTCCGTGGTGTGGGGGCGTAGGCTAATCCTCCATCTTCGGAGCGACTGTGAGGAGAGGACGACGAAGCCAGGCATCAACTGAACAAGAGTAAGTGAGTTCCTCTCACCTCCCGAGGTATTGCAGCCTGGAGACTTGAGGCGGCCGGCCTGAAAACTCACCTTGGACTTCACCTTAGAGCGCTACCAGGTATTTTAGATGGTTAGTGCCCGAGAGTTCCCAACAACGGAGCTGGAATAAATGGCCGTAATTATGCGCCGTATGGTAGAACTAGTATGCCAGCTGAACACAGAGATCATGCTTATCCTCTCGAAAGCTCAGATTCGAATCCTCGTGCTCGATTTCATTTTTGTTCTTCTCGCATGCTTTGAATTTACTTTCATCTCGCGCTTCCCTTCCTCTTCCTTTTCACGCAACTTTGTGGCATTTTGATCTAGCTTGGAGTATAAATTGCTCCGCCTTTGCTTGTTAAAAGAAATCTGCAAAATGTTTCCAAGCATTCTGCCCGAGGCCAACCTCAATTACCGAGTCACCCAAACCAATGACGTCTTTCGAAGAAGGGGTTGAACACCGACGCCTACCTAGGTACTTGTGCTTCTGGCTCTTGACTACTAGCGGTCATCGCCGTGGCTGTATTCCCGATAGATAATCAGACAGAGGCTACGGTCATGCTGTCATGTAACGGTGGATCGGATCTTCTTAGCAATGGAAGTTGTAACGGCGGGATCATGTTCTCTCGCTTCATCAGCCGCAGAACTTCATTTTTTCTTCACCACATATTTCTGCTTGTGTCTGGAAGAGTGCGTTGTCTCTGATACTTATATAGGAACCCGCCGATTGGTCGCTGCGGGCCACGATCAGAATTTTGCTACTGTCTTAGTATGAGATGGTAATGGTCTAGTTACCTGCATTTTGTATAAAGGCGTGCCTGGCGGTGCATTCTCTGGACGAGCTGGACAAGGGAATCATCTGTGCTTCTACAACTTTGGCGGCTACGTTCCACTGGCTATTACCTGACCACCAAGCTGAGGACGTTCCGCTTCGTGACACGCGAGATACTGCCTCAAGCATTCGACTTCTGCACGTGGAAGAGTCGAGTATGCGTCGATGAATAGCCTAGGAAAGGTCATGAACGATAGACGCGGCTCATTGCAGAGATTTCAGACACAAATACGAACGAGCAATGACGTTTGGACGTTGCTCAGACGCCTGATGAGTCCAACGGCTGCCATCGGCCACGAACAAGACAAAGAGGACGGAATTGCGTGTGAGAATACGACCTTGGGTATGGAGCGCATCCCTGCCTTTTAAAGGATGAACTGTTCGTGGCATTGAGCCCCGTAATGATATATAGAGAGCTCGCGAGGGATACTCTGTTTGTATTCTGTACCGCAGAAAATGAACTGAGCCGCATCTGGTTCAGACACGGAGTCGAATGTGGGCCCTGGTGTCATGTTATTAGTGCTGTTTGAGTAACAGGAGACTACGAGTAGCTACATGATGGAGGTACTCGCGGAGTGTGTGGGATGAATACCATCCCGGCGGTGACGATGAATACCTGGATGAACCGCGCCTTGCATCCGAGGTCAGCCAAGGCGGAAGCAATAACCAGGATCACGATATCTTTGAAACTTGTTCGTATCGGCGAACGATCATGACAACGCGAATGCATTGTGGAATCAGTTATACCGGCCAGGCCCAGCTGTTTTATAGGGCTTGCTTTCGCCATTGTCGGTGTGATGGACCAACGACAACTTGGTATAAATGCCGCTACCTTGGAACAATCTTCTCAGATTCATCAATTATTTTTATGAATAACCAAAAGGGTCTTTGCTGCCTTCGCTTACTGATGAAATTGGAGGTGTCGACTGGTCTCCGCCATTCCATGTGAACTGCCCTTCAATCTTCTCCCTTTACCTATTACCAGCTGAATACACCTTAAGAGATACCGGTGATAGACTACGAAAGAGCAAACTTGGAGTACAGGTCTATAGCAGTTGGGATTTACGCACTCGACCTTGGACATCTTCGGACCAAGACGCAAGGTAACGACTCGTGTAGGCTGAAAAACGCAACATTGCTTGATTCACATTTGGCCTGGAAACGCACTCTGAGGCGGTTGGCGCATCCTAATTATACCCCTAGCGAGACCCCGTAGGTGCCGGAATGGAGTCCCAGGCGCATCGTCGGACGCTGGTATATCAGTTTGTATCTCTGACATGCTATATGTCTATGTCAACGTAGTATTGTATGTGTTCAAGCGACAAATCTTAACCGCAGACTTTGAAACTGCCAGCCTTCCAGCTACTACGATGCGCTTCGCACCTCATACGGGCCTTCTCTTTCCCCGTTCTTCCTTGAGCGTGAGGCACCAGACGCATAATGATAATATTCGTCTGAATGCGTTGACAATACCCGACGCAAAGTGAGTGACAAAGACGATCGAGGATGTCACCCCATGCTTAGACACACTTGGATGGATTCTGATTTCGATGGAGAGGGACAGACTTCCAGTAGACAGCGTTAAGTTTACGGTCGATCGACACCAATAAAGATGCGTCCGATCAATTGGCCGGTTTGGTCCCTCCAGAATCTCTTGAATTGTTCTATATTTATATCCTGTCCTCAGAGTTACTTACCTTGATCGTATTCAGCATACTTAAGAGGTCGAAGACATCAACAAACTTGCCTCGCTCAACAAACATCAGTGATCAATAGACGACCGAAGTATCTGAGGAAATCTCTAAATAAGCTAGAGGCATTTACGAAGCATGGAGAAAGGTCATATATGGCCTAACTAGCAACCGCTATTGTTCATGCAGGGACAACACATGAAGACAACCATCGCGATTCACCGCAATCAAGAACGGCACCAACCGCATCCCAATTTCTCCTCGCATCAGTGCCGTATCTTTTCTTTTGTAGATAGTGATTCGATGTCAGCCTGTTGGACAGCCTGCGATTGCCATGGGCTTATTCTGGTTCTTATAGCTCTTAGATCAAGTGAGACGAAGCCGGCGGATGAAAATGAGTATACGAGAGAGCCGAAGTCTCGCGTGGTAGCCTTCATGGCACATTAGGTATCCTCCAAATCATCCAAATACAGGCGATGATGAGCCCAAATCAGTTGACAAAGCAGGTCATGCCCTCCGGAATGGGCAGAGTTCTTATACGTTCCGGCGTTAGTGAAAGCAGATGAGGCAAGGGTCAATTGCAAACAGGTATCTACTCTCTGGAATCTATGTCCACTATGCCATCACCTATACCGGTAACACCATCTGTGAATGTCAGCGCAGCAGACGAAGCCTCCCGAATCACCTGGCAAGACTACTATTGAAAGCTGACTCTCATTCCAAAAGTATGACACGGTGTAGGCACCTGCCACGGAATTCGAACATGAGGGCGAACCGTTTGTTGACTCTGGGTGTCGAGGGACAGATAGTGCGACTTCTTGTCCACAACTTATATGATAGTAAGGCCATTCAGGGTCCAAAGCGATGTCGTTGCGCAAGTGTGAGTGGTGATATGGAAGGGCTCTAGGATGTTTCCAACCAGGAACAAGATTAGCAGGGATAATCTAGCCACTGTTCTCACCAGGAGGCAAGCGGCAACGTCATCAATGACTGCCGTTGTCGTCGTCGTCTTCCTCGAGCCTGCCATGTGTACCCGGAACAGGGCTACATAAATGTGGCAGGAGGTCGAGAGATCCATGCAACTTGCACAACTACATACCTCCCAGCTGCCAAAATCTCCATCAACTCCCACCCACCAACTTCTTCCACACTTCAGTTTACATTACTAGAAAATTAGATATCCGTATGAGCTACTTCCACTTCATTACTTTCGCATCAAACGATTCAACCCATACGAGACGTATGCTTCCGATTTGTTCAGCCATTCATCACTGCAAGAGCAGGTGCAACCCGTATCAACATAGTACGGAGGTGCTCTTCCACCTTTCAAATCACGACTAGTTTCTCCACCCACACACCATCATTCTCACTCAAGTCATTCCTTACTTGTCTATCAACCAAACATCTCGAGACATAAGCTCCATCTCAACAGAGTTCCTTGGCTCATCATTCACGTTCCTTATCACCTTTGAATCTTTTCTTTAACGCAACCACACCATATTGATCACTTAGACGTCGTCCTCTATCTGCACAGCAACACTTCTATCTCCGAGACCATCCAAGTCATTTCTTAATTGTTGGTTTCGTACCTTTGAAGCTTACAGAAACTCCTTCTACATTTCGTTTCGAATCCTTTGCCAGCACAATTCTTTTCTCTAATTTCATTGGAAGGCCCTTGCTGGCAAAACATTCATCACCATGTCCACAACCACTACCCAGGATCCTCCAAGATGCAAAAGAGGCTGGTTGAAATGGGCCAAGGCTCAAATGCACCCAAAGTACGCCGAAGTACAAGACTTGGACTTCCAACTGCGCCGGGTTATCAACGCCATTTCCTGGGACAAGATGCACAAGAGAGTACACGTCAAACAGGAACCGCCCTATATGCGACTTCTGGTCTTCCTAGGCAATACCCAGAACAACAGAATGCGTCCGCCTTCACCTGTGGACTGCGAGGCAGTGAGAATCATGAACGGCGGCGAATTTCCCGACATCATCTCAAGCCTTCTCAGGAACGCAGGCTGGGAGCCCAGCCTATGCACCGACCCGTATCTGATTGCGATAGAAAGAATCTTGCGTCCTCCGCCTCCGCCTCCACCAGAGAAGGAGAAAGAAGACCTTGCTCCAAAAGAGCTAATACCTTGGATGGAATGGGCCAAGCGCCAGAAGAATCCGGCATTCGATGACGCCCCTGAGCGGGCGGAGCTCGAAGACAACCTCGAAGCCGTGAGATGGAACGTCAAAACCCCAAAGTGCTACAAGCTGCAGCAGCCCTTTATTTTCCTCATGGGGCGCTGGGGTCCCGATGGAGAACGCGGACCGGATGACGTGCCCTCCGTCATCGACCTCGAGGCAACGAGGATCATGAACAATGGCAAGCTGCCTCGAGAGCTGTGCGAGTGGCTTGCCAATGCCGGTTGGGACGCCGAGAAATGTTGCAACCCGAAGCTGTCCATCGCGGAGAAGAAACTCTCAACCGACCCTCCGACAACCACGCAGCATCAACAGCCGGCTACCCCTAGGCCAGTGGACGGAGGTCAAGAGGCCGCGAACACACCCCCGGATACCCCAGAGGGCGATGAAGAGATAACTCCCGCTTCCCCTGAAGTTGCCGAGAAAGTTGAAAGACCGCAGACGCCAACACCACCTCAACTATCGGGCTTTGCGTCTTCGTACAACCATCAATTCGACCCAGATGACTGTCCACGCTTGGAAATGCTCTGGAGATCAACCCCGGCACCGAGCACTGAAGACAGGGAGGGACAAATTCCTCCTCCAAAGATGAGAGCCTCCAAGCGTCATTCGGCCGATGACCACGGAGAATCGGATCAGCACCCAAAGAGACAGAGAACGAGCATGTTGCCGGGCGATCCTCTCGGTGTAAGTGGGAGCTTTACTCCCGGAAGAAGGAGCAACTATCAGACCTTCCCTTCAAGCACCACCCACCCGCGTGGAGTCACCAGTCCGCGCCAGAACTTCTTCGACACCTCATCTGCGCCTCAAAACACCAACACCCGAGCGTCTTCCCTCAACAACCCCGCCAGACCACCACCTCCCACGCCTTTCCCTTCAGCAACCTTCGCCAGAGCCACCGTCGCTCCCCCAGCAGACCAAGCCCTCCCCGGCACCCGCACTCCTCAACCTACTACCATCCCTAGCACGCCAATGCGATCCCAACCTCCCACCTCAGACCAATCCTTTCCTCCCATCTTCCACGACATGATGTCCAAAATGGCAGACATGAGCGCCGCCGTCACCGCCCAGGTCCAGCTCCGCGACGAAGAGCACCACCACCACAAAGACCGCCTCCGCCGCGCTTTCCTCGCCGTCGAGCACGCCTCGCGCGAAGTCGGACGTGCCGGTAACGCCTTCGACATTGCACGCCGCGACCTCGACATGGCCCTCGAGCAGCAGAACGTCACCATCGTGACGCTGAAGACCCTTCTCGACACTGATGAAGTTGAGGCGCATCCGGTACAGTAAGAGCGCCAATCTCACAGTCATTCGTTTCTCAGCAGCTCACAGTTTTCTAACCAGTCTTGACGAACCCGAGGCCCTTACGCGCGAGCGAGAGTCTAGCCTCCCGCAGCTCTTCGGTACGCTTTCGCATTTCAGCATGTTTATGGTACTACACGTCACCCACACGTTCATCCTTCTCGGCTACTTCCTCACCCAGGGAGGCTTCAATTTCTTCAAATATCTTCGTCAGGCCTGACGGAAGGAGCCATCCAAGTTTTCTTCACCACATTATGACAGCATTCTTATCGATACCTCAGCATTGTATCTTTCAGCGGATATTTCATCAGCATCATCGTCACTGGAGCAGCAGGGGAGGCACCGGTCGGTCACGAAGTTGATTTTCAAGACGATCACGGAGTTCGGCGTTGAATTTGGCATTGGCACAGAAGGGACAATTGTATTTTAGGAGCCATACCCGAAGGAGTTGATAGCATTTCCTTGGTTAACAGTGCTTTCTGAAATTCTCCTCATGGATCCCCCGGCAGCGCTCCAATATTCATACCAGCGTCATTGTCACGGAAGCACCAAAATTAGACGCGCTGGTAGGCGTCAAGCATTTGGCTTTCCGGGACTGGCTTTCGAATCAGAGTTTCTGGCTGCTCATTTCCAGCAGCATACGTTCATAAGCACGCAGCATAGTTGCGGTAGACGGGTGGCAGCCACGGGATTTCGGCGTTGATTTGACGTTGAAGAAGGGGCACTAGTATTTTAGAAGCTTCGCCGCATACTTCTTATTGAATTTTTTCCTACTTGATAATACTTGCTCCCTGAGTTCATCCTCATCTTAGCGACTACAGTCGCTGTTCTTGCTTTAATTGATGCGGCAGGGCATAGAAAACATGCATCTTAGACCGTGACACCAAGTCACCCAAAACAACACAAACAAAAGAGCCAAAAAGAATCCACTTGAACCCTTAACCTCCCATCGATCAGACATGGCAACACCAGGGCGCTGCGGTTGCGCTTGTCCCGACCGCTGGGCCATCTTGCTCTTCTCGCCGGGAGTTGACAACCCAGGCAGCATCGGCACCCAAGTAAGGCACGCAGGCCGTCCGTCCGTCACCTTCGCCCGCTCGCCCCTTCCCCAATCCAACGACATTTCACAATCATAACAATCACAAGTGCAATCATCAAGGCACACAAGATACTCATCTCAAAAACTTTGTCATTAAAAAATCAACAGAAACCGGCCCAGGACGGGCAGTAATGAACCTAGACTCCGAGACCATGCAGCTACCACCAAGACCCGGCATAGCCAAGCTCAGCGTTACGAACAAGGTGTGTATGTGTGTGTTGTGTGTTTGTGAGAGGGGAGCGGGAGAAATTCAAACGCAGACGGATGCCACGCAACGAGAGATATTCAAACCTCCCTGGAAATTCAAACCTCCAATTTCAAGCGTTTTCGTTCAGACCTCCACCACCCTCGTTATGTCATCATCCCATCCAACCGGGAGGCATTTCGAATCTTCCCCGGCGCAAAACACTGGGATGAACACGTCGTGACCAAAAAAACAAAGCAGATTCCAACAGAAACTTTCATCGCATGACTTCCCACTTCATCCCATCATGTCCAGGCGTCCTTACTCATCAATCCTTGGTATTCCCCGCACATGCAGCTTTTCATGACGCCCGCTCACTTTGACGTCAAAACAAGTTGAGCAGTAACAATCGCATTTCATTATCCTTGAGTTCAGTTTTCCTCGTCGTCCTCCTCGATCGGGGCAGGTGTCCGCCGTTCCGTCCGGCGCTTGGGGCGGCGGTGTCTCGAGCTGCTGATGTTGCTGGCCGAGTCGTCGGGAGCGAGCTCGAAGTCGTCGCCGCCCATCCAGTCGTCATCGCTGTTGTCCAAATCGCCCTGGGCCCATCCCGGGCGCTCGTAGCCCGAAGACTGGGAGTTGCCGGAGCCGGGCAGCACATCGATACGCCGGCGGCTTTGCAGGCTGTGTGCGAGACCGGCACCTCTGTTGCGCAGTGCCGTCCGGACAACTTCCGCCCTGAGGTGAAGTGCCTCGAAGGCATCCTCCAGCACCTCCATACCCTGGTAGATCTCACGCTCCACTTCCGCCAAGACGGCCATCTCCATCTCCTCATCACGGGACACTGCTTGACGGTTCGCGGCGGCTGACATACCGCTCACGAAGGAAGCTGGAGTGGCGCCACGAGAATACGGGGTGGCGTTGCGAGAAGGCCCTCCAGTTGAAGGTCGAGAGGGGAAGTAGCCGCTCGCAGGGGTGGCTCCCCGGGAGTCGGCGATCGGAGTGTTGACGTCGTCTCCGTCGGCGCCAGACCACAAGAAGCCATCGAACCTGCCCGAAGTCAAGATCTCCCACTCTTGGGTGTTGATGTCGGACATTGTCACGACGAGGTCGTGCGTATGAGGGTTCTTGACAAGGTACATTGCAACTTCGGCATCGCGAGGTGTTTGTTGCAAGCGATACAGACGCTGGAGGGAAAGCCCGGCCTTGATGACGAAGTCGGGGCGGGGACGGTGAGAGTGAGAGGGTGTAGGGGCTCTTGTCGTGGGCTTGAGCTGGCTAGAGCCGGTGAGAATGGCGTTGAAGTACGGCTGATCCTCAGGGTCCAGGTTCGTAAGCATGGCGAACGTGAGTGTGTCGTCGTCAACGTCTTGTGGCGTCGGGGCGGTCGAGTCACCGCATTTGTTCAACCACTTGTCCACAGCTCCCCTGACCTTCTTAGACCGTTGGAGGTAGTGCTCGCGGAACTCCTCGGCGATATCGGGATCGATCTGGATGGGCGAGTCGGGACGAGGGGGAAGATCTGCGGCAATGTCCGCAGCAGCAGACCCCAAGGTCGCCAAGTCAAAAGGAGGCCACTGTGGGAGCTCGATGCGGCCGCTAACCCACTCAAGAACCTCGCCCCAACCCAGGCCGCGATGCTGGATATCGGGCCCTCTCTCACACAAAACGCAGGTGCATCCGTATTCGGGCAGCTCCCGAGAGAACACATTCTCAAGGCGGTCCAGGAGTCTACGAGCAACCGATCGGTGACCGGTTGCAACGGCAACAGAGCCATTTTTGTTTAGCACCGAGTTGTACTGATCCAGCAAGTTGAAGAAAGGAGCAAACAGTGTTTGCGCGCCAACGAGAGGAGGGTTGGAAGGCCTGGCGCCATTCTGACGAGGAAGAACAGACAAAAACGTCTTTGGTAAAGGTTGAAGCAGACCGCCGTTCTGCAAGAGGTAGTCGACCCTAGGCGCCTCGTGGACGTCCAGAGGCGGGGGAGGTGGCGGCGGGGGAGGAGGTCCAGGGAGGTCGGTCGCCGGGGTGCCTGAGGGCGTGATCTCTTCGGCATACACTTGAGCCAACCCGGGGTGCGGCTTCTGGTCCGGCGGCAGGGGCGGGGGATAGTTCGGGCATTGCGTCGGGGTCTTGGGGGACGAATCCATCACGCTCTCCGGAGACGAGTCGCCATCTTGGATATCGGACCGTCGGCTCTTCTTGCTCGACGAACTGCGCTTGGAGGAAGACCTGCTCGGCTTGATGTTGAGGCTCTCCTGCACGCCGGGAGGAAAGGAGGGCGACTTGACGTAGGTGGCCTGACTACTGCTCTTGGACTTGAAGCTCACCCGGGATCTCTCGTCGGCTCTAGATCCCGACCTTGAAATCGAAAGGCCACTGAGTCGCGAGATCGGTCTGTCATCCCTATCCCTCTTCTCGGTTAATCTTGAGCTTGAACGCTCCTTGCGCGACGACTCGGGCGTCTCAGATCGTCTCTTGTCGGACAAGTCTGTCTCGGGCGGGCTGGGAGGCCTCTCTTTGGTCGACACCTTGCGCGAGGCATCGTTCACGCTCTTGGATCGGTGGACATCGCTCTGTCCAAGGTCGGTCGCCTCGGGGGTGAAGGGGTCTCTCTGCTTTTCTTTCTCGGCGACGGCCGAGACGTCATCTTTGCTGCGGACAGCCTCCTTGCTGTGCGCTTTGCTGAACGTCGGGTAGGGGACGGAAACGCGATCGGTAGAGTTGGTCAGGGAGGTTCTGGCCAGCTCGGGGACGAGGTCGGTCATGGAGGCGGAGCGGTCGTGGCCGCGATCTCTATCTCTGTCTCTGTCTCTGTCTCGGTCTCTGCGGTCGCGGTCGCGGTCTCGTTCCTCGCGGGTGCGGTGGCGGCGGTGAGAGTGGGAACGCGAGTGGGTATCGCTTCCGAGGCCGCTGCCGTCGACCATTTTCGACTTCGAGGATCGTGAGCTCACACGGGAGGCGCGGTGTTCCTTGTCGCCCTTGTCGGATCTGAGGCTGCGCTCCGACTTGCTGCGGGACGACTTCTTCTCGCGGGGGAGCTTGTCAACGTCGTCGACGACGGTATCGACGTCACGGTTTACGGAAGACATAGTGGCTGGCGCATGGATGCGAGCCCGGAAGCTCAGATAGCTGCGCGGCGAGGCTTAGGCGTGGGCGTGGTGGTCGTCGGGCGACGGGCGAGGAGGGATTGAATAAACCTGTTTGTCGAGGGAGGAGATGGTGGGTGGGAAGGTTTTGGGGCCCGTCGGCGAGCGATCCGTCGTCGAGGTCAAGGTTTTGGACGAGTTTGTGAAGAGGTGCGGGTAGGAAACGGGCAGAACCTGGTCTGGGGTTCACCGATCAAAAGAGGTTGAAGGCGACTCGGCAGTCGTTAAAAACCGGGGATTGCGGTGACTTTTTTCCCCTAGCCCCCCTGTTTTGAGCGAGCGAGCGTTGGTCGAGGGTTCAGGGTTCTTCTGGAAGATTTAGTGTCTGTCCCGTCGTCAGTGACGTTCGCCGTCGAGGCTGGTTTCAGCTGTCGGGATGATGTATGGTGAGGTAGCAGAGCTTCAGGAGCGAGGGAAGAGCGGCCAGAGGAAGACGGAGGAGAGAAGGAGCCGTACGTACGATGGGCGGTGGGCGGTTGCGAGGGAGGAGGTGTTCGTTGACACAAGGCAGCTCGGACGGGTGTGATTCGACCAAAAAAATGAGAATGGAACAGCACACAGCAGAGAGTACTGTATCCGTACTGGCGTACCTTCCACGAGTGTCCTTTCTCTTGTGGTAAGTGGTCTGCAAAGGCAAAGGCAACAACCCCTGTCGACTGCTGCGTTGCCAGCGTTGGTGCTGCGGGCTTCGATGCCTGGGACGGATCTGGTAGGCTGGACAGGCTGGGCAGGGCCGGCAAGTGTGGATCACCCGTCACTGAAGAGGGAAGGAAACGCACTTTGGGAACGCA